GCACTATTTACACAACACTTTGTGAGTTTTAAAAGCTTGATTGTAAAATTTCTCAATTGAACTCTTCCACAAAGGAAATCAATGATTGCATGTACTTGAAAATAATACGTAGGTTATTTGCAAGAATTTTAAAATGAACGTGATGTAAAACATGGGTATGAAAGTCCTATTAACACTGGCACATTAAGCTATTTTAAAATGAACATGACGTAAAACATGGGTATGAAAGTCCTATTAACACTGAGACATTAAGCTATTTGAAACTGAACATGATTTAAAGCATGGGTATGAAAGTCCTATTAACACTGAGACATTAAGCTATTTTAAAATGAACATGACGTAAAACATGGGTATGAAAGTCCTATTAACACTGAGACATTAAGCTATTTTAAAATGAACATGATGTAAAACATGGGTATGAGAGTCCTGTTAACACCTGCACATCAAGTTATTTTAAAATGAGAGAGGAAGAGACACATTGCCAAACATAATGAGCTAATACACTTACTAATGAATAGTGTTCTTAGAGTTAAACTGTAAGAAACTGTTGCTCAAAAGAATGATACTGGTATATTTTCCTGCCAATAACCTGAAACAAGCATCATTGTAAAAAAAAAAAAGGTGAACTTATTAAAAAAATTACCGACATTCAATAAATTATCAACTAAGGCTTATTAGCAAAATTTACCACTATAATCTCAACTCTTTGTCTGACATGATTTCAAGCTACAAGTGAAACTAGGTGGGTCGTGAAATGTTTATAATATTTATTAACTATTTAAGTAAGAGCCGTGGGTGTCTTCTGGTGGTGTTAAGTGGTAATGCTGCTTTTCTATAATGAAGTACATATATCAAGGCTGAAGCTTCTTAGTGTCATTTGTCTCGATTGGTTTGAATGTTCTTGTAATAGCACAGTTTTATTTGTTAAGTTTATTGTATGTCTGTTTCTAAACATTTTTTTTTTTACTAAAATTCTGCTACTTTGGTTAGAAATAATCCAAATTGCTAATTGTACACGAAGAAATTTGAATAGCTTTATGTGTTAAAGTTATGAAAGTTTTAACAAATGATGTCAATTGACAAATTTCTGGTTGTTGAACATGTTTAGCCACAAGTAGCACTTTTTGTGGTTTTGTTGAACCTAATTTTTTCCATCATAACATTTATTAAATGTTTATTTCAATTTTGTTCTTTCACTCACTTTACTCACTGAAACTTGTACTTAATATTAAGCTTATTCAATCAGTCATTCCTTTTATTTTGAATAGCACTCCACTCATTCAACGTTTCAGTTATGTTCATCCTAGTACTTCAGCCATATACTCTTGTGGTGTAGATCACCTAAAAGTTATGCTTCTTTACATTAGCATGAACCTTCTAGTAGTGATTAGTCAGGAAAGTTAAATTTTTGTGGGCTGTTTACTTAGTACATTTAATTTAGTGCAGTTATTTTTGGAAACAAACTGTATGGTAATGTTAAATTAATAAACATTCAACGTTAAAATCAATACACAATTAAAATTATATGTTTCGACGTGTAGAGTCATTATTTTGAAATCATCTTAATTGTGTATTGATTTTAACATTGTATATTTATTGTTTTAACATTATACACAAGTGCCTATACTAACATATAATGTTAAAATCAATACACAATTAAAATTACATGTTTTGACGTGTAGAGTCATTATTTTGAAATCATCTTAATTGTGTATTGATTTTAACATTGTATATTTACTGTTTTAACATTATACACAAGTGCCTATACGTATTTAGGGTAATGTTGTTATACATAAAATCATCAGTCATATATCATATTATCATCAATTCACACTTGTACTTAACACACGTAATATATTTTTGTGTAGTTCTAATTGTTAGCTTAATTAGTTTAGTACTGCCTTACTGTCATGGCAACTTGATTCCCTATTATCCTATCTCATAAACCACAAGTTATAAAATTTTTGAGTGAGAAATGAATATAGTCAGTATTGAACTATTTCATTGGTGCACTGTACCATAAGCCAAATAGTGAGTACAACAGAAAGTATGCTAGAGCCACCATTAATAGTCACTCAGATTGTATGTTTGATAAAATCATTGGGGCAGCCATGATAAGCCAAAAGGTCCCCTTTTTGTTGTGAACAACTGGTATGAAGAAGCACTTGTAAACAAAGTAAAAGTAGAAAGTAGTTGTTACTACATTTTCAGGTTTGAACGTACAGTATTCCTTGACTTTTAATACATAAAGAAACCATCTTTGTCATGGTCAGATTAAAGTTTTTCTCTATATGTTATACAGGGTATGAACCTTGTGGTACACTGTATAGTGTGTAGGTTTAATAAAGTAATAAGGATAGTTGCAAATATTGGAGTACAGCACCACTATTAACATGAAGATTAGTATAACCGAAATGCCTATAACGATTAAGCTTGCATACATCTTTTATGTTGCATCATTACAGTATATGAAATTCAAATCAAAATGTTTTTCCCAATTGAAAAATAAACTTTAAATAAAATAATCAGATTAGTTTTATATTAGACATAATTGTACGGATAAGCTATAAAAGTCTAGAAGCAGACATTTGTATGGCTGGTATATCGGCACATTTCCTAAATATACATATTAACCTTAACATATCAAAAAATGACTTTTTTTTTTATTACTGTTATTATTTTTGAGTTTCTTATGGATTATGACAATAGGCTAAATGACCTTTTGTCTGTATGCTTAGGTAGTTATGGGATGGGTATTATCAGCATATTTACATTTTTAATATCCACAATGTGTATATCCATTATCTGAATGTTAGCTAGTGATATCAACAGTGTAAACCTCACATGAAAAATGATTCATGATGGATCCTTTACCAAAAAAGGTGTTAAAGAACTTTGTGAAACACCATATGTATGAATAATTTTCATGTGAGATTTACACTGTTGATATCACTAGCTAACATTCAGATGATGGAAGATGGATCCTTTACCAAAAAAGGTGTTAAAGAACTTTGTGAAACACCATATGTTCCATCATCTGAATGTTAGCTAGTGATATCAACAGTGTAAATCTCACATGAAAAATTATTCATGTTGAATCCTTTACCAAAAAGGTGTTCAAGAACTTTGTGAAACACCTTATGTTAAAGTTGAAGATCTAAAACTGACCAGATCACTAACACACACAGAAAAAACTTATTATGTGATATATTACTCCTCTTAAAAATCAACTGAAGTCTAATAATGCATGTTGTATGGGAGGGAGGGGGTTCAACAAGGATGCTGTAAATTCCATTTACCTTTCGGAGTGGTGGTTAGGGTTGCAGGATCCAAACTTGTAACCAAACATGCTCATCCTTTCAGCCATGTGGTCATTTTAATGTAATGATCAATCCCACTATTCACTGATAAACAGTAGACCAAGTCTTGGTAGTGGATGGTGTTGATTATCTTCCTTTTCTGTAGTCTATGACTCCAAAGTTATGGGTGGCTAATACAGGTAGTTCTCGAGTAGCCTTTTGTGAAAATTCAACAAAATAAACGAATACCCGTTAGAAACAAAAATCTGAACTGTAACATTTTCTCAGTTCTTCGTGTAACTATAAACATTGTTTCTTTTATTGCACATGGATGTTTGTACATTTTGAACCACGCTACAGTTTTTATATTTTTTTGTGACATAGTATTAAGAGAACTTTTTAAGTCAGAACTCATCTCATGAAAGGCGAAGATATTTAAAATCGTAAGAGCACTTCACTTTATAATTATGATTTATATCTGCATGTGGAGGCCTTTGACAATGACTTATGCCCTTCTGTTAAGGTGTTTAATTTTGTGTAAATGAAATGTGGAGGTAAATAGTTCAAATGGATGTTTTCTTTTCCAGGTGGACAGAATGTATAGTGAAGCTCCTATAGACAAGAATGGTATGTTTGATTACTTAGAATTTACTCGTATATTGAAGCATGGTGCCAAGGAAAAGGATGATCAGTAGAAGTCACCCATCTTCATCTTCTGCATTATATTGAGTTGAACTGCATATAATATTATATTTTAATGAACTAAAAAAAGTTATGCATTAATGCTTTATGTTTGAGGAAACTAACACAAACCACTTGTTTTAAGTTGTTATTTAATGGAAAAGGGATCATTTTTTTTCAATTTTGTTTTACAAAACTTCTCTATTCTGGCTAAGCATTTATGTATCTTTAATATACTATATGTAAAATCATTGATAATAAAATTCCAACTGTGAAAACATAATTTGTGTTGTATAATTTTTGGAACGTGTGTATAATGCTTTTGAAAAAAAAACTAGATTTCTGAGAGATTATTTAACTCTAAGCCTTGTATTTGTAATAATTAAATATTATAGCTGTTTTAGTGAGACTTCTAAGTTCGTATATTCCAAACAAAATCATTGTGATTTTAAATCTTGTATTTTAATAACAGTTATTCTCCACTTCAGAACCAGAAACACTGTTTATAATTACACACTCAACTCAAAGATCAGATTTCACTATTTGGTTCAAATCTCAACCACTCCTTTACTAGGGGTTGAATTTCGCGGGATATTATTGTTTACGGCCAAAAATATTCTCAATGGCAAGGGTACCCAGCTGAAGAAACCGTGCATTCTGATCTTTATAAGTAAGAATGTAAGAAAATATATTTAATTAGCTATACTTTTAAGTTGACTTTAAGTTGCACTGTCATTATGTAGCAACTTTGATCAGAAGTTAGTATTAACTCCTGACCTATATATACCAAAAATATTTACAGTCACAATGAGAAATGACTCTTGCTTTATTGTTTTTGCTGTGAGCGAACAATAGATGAACTCTTTCATATGTTACAACGGGATTATTTCCAAGTGTTGTACAATGGTGAGCATTCTTTTGTTATGAAATTCTCTGGACAAGAGTATAATAACCCTCAAAGATTTTGAGTTAAAAAATTCTCCTAATATGATTTTTTGATTTTACATCTTTCTGTGATTTGGTGACTTGCATCTAAGCATGCTCCTATTTGTGAGGATTTGGATTTATTCAATCTAGGGTCATAATACATAGAGATAACTTAAGATACATTGCCATATTTAGAGGGAGTCCAAACCATGTAACTTCATGGGGGGGACTCGAGCTCCAAAGAAGGGTGACTACAGCAATGCAGTATTGCATGGGAGTCTCAAAGGTTCTAAATCTGGCACTGCTTAGATAGATAATACATAGTTAGATAACCTAGACTCAAAAATTTTAAATTAGCACATACACTATGACTCGATACTTTGAAATTATTACACACACTGTGACTTGATACTTTAAAATTACCACACACACACACACACACTGTGACTTGATACTTTCTAATTACTATACACACTGTGACTCTATACTTTAAAATTACTGCACACACTGTGACTCAATACTTTTTAATTACTGCACACACTGTGACTGGATACTTTAAAATTACTGCACACACTGTGACTTGATACTTTCTAATTACTGCACACACTGACTCGGTACTTTAAAATTAATACACACACTGTGACTTGATACTTTAAAATTATTACACACTGTGACTCGATACTTTAAAATTACTGCACTCACTGTGACTCGATACTTTAAAATTACTGCACTCACTGTGACTCGATACTTTAAAATTACTGCACTCACTGTGACTCGATACTTTAAAATTACTGCACTCACTGTGACTTGATACTTTAAAATTACTGCACACACTGTGACTGGATACTTTAAAATTACTGCACACACTATGACTTGATACTTTAAAATTACTGCACACACTATGACTCGATACTTTAAAATTACTGCACACACACTGACTCGATATTTTAAAATTACTGCACACACTGTGACTCGATACTTTAAAATTACTGCACACACTGTGACTTGATACTTTCTAATTACTACACACACTCTGACTCGATACAATAAAATTAATACACACACACACGCTTTGACTTCATAGTTAAAAATTACTACACACTGTTGTTGAAGAAGAATTGTTTCCACAGGTTTGTTTGACGTTCATTTTAGCTGTGTAATGCCTGTACTTTGCTTCATTAAACATTAGATAAGTGTTACACAATGCTGCGTATATTGATTTTGGTTCTTCTGTTGAAACAATATTAAGTTGCAGCTAGTTCAGTGGCTTATGATAATGAAATGGTGGTTGAAACTTATTTTCAAAGTGTGAGGATAGATTTGATAATAATGTGACAGATAACTATTAAAATATACATTCCATGTTTATATAGTCCTAGAATGTGAAATCTATGTTTCAGAGGTGATTATTTGGATGAAAAGTAATGCGAGCCCTAAAAAAATAGAATATTTGTTTTTGATGGAGTGTATTCAGTAAATACGTAATCTAATATTAGTAATTATTGATATATGTGTGACTGTGTATTTTAATCTGTTTTAAGCTTTAATAAGCGTTTGCTCCGAATGGATGTGGTAAGTGATGGTGTAAAGTTAAACTAATATTTGAACACTATTTGATATCACAAATTTCACCTGGTATTTGCTGGTTTATAGTTATTGTGAAAAGACTAATTTCACTGTGTGTCCTATGGTAGAATGTTTTTTGTTCCCTGAATAAACATTAAACATTCCATTTTTCTGTAGATGCTTTTTTCTCCCACAACCTCATTTTTAAATGCTTTATGTTAGTATGTCAGACCGTGAATCCATGGTTTGCATCCCGTTGCTGATAAATTGCACTCTTATCTTTGGGGACAAGGGTGCATTTTAAGAGTAATGGACAAATCTCAGTATTTGATTAGAGTAGCCCAAGAGTTCGTCATGAATGCTGTTGACCAGTTGCTTCCTCCCTAGTTTGTCAGCTCACAATTAAGGACCGCTATCAGAAATAATCAATGTGAATATCCAAAACAAACTATCAAGCACTTTCTGAAAGAGTTGTTTTTAATTAGAGGTATAACAACTCCGATTGTAGATATTATGACTTTAATAACTTTATCAGAAATACTCAAGTAGCTATTTGAATATCCAAAACAAACTATCAAGCACTTTCTGAAAGAGTTGTTTTTGATTAGAGGTATAACAACTTCGATTGTAGATATTATGACTTTAATAACTTTATCAGAAATACTCAAGTAGCTATTTGAATATCCAAAACAAACTATCAAGCACTTTCTGAAAGAGTTGTTTTTAATTAGAGGTATAACAACTCCGATTGTAGATATTATGACTTTAATAACTTTATCAGAAATACTCAAGTAGCTATGTGAATATCCAAAAC